CTCCCCCCTTAAGGGGGGACGCGCCTTTGGGATCACAAAAAATGGCAAAAAAATAAATTTTTTGAAAATCAAGTTTTCAGTTTCTGGATCCCTTTTTCCGATTTCAAATTATCTACACTGGAAAATTCGCAGAAGTGCTTCTGACCATTCATTTCACCCTTCTAGGTAGCGATACTTTTTCCGGAAATCATGCGAAAACAGCAAGTTGTGATGGCGCGACTGGGAGCCGGCTTTGTGGGCTCATCAGAAAGAGCATTTCTTTGTGTTCAAATCTCCCACCTCAGCTGGTTCCTCCCTTTAAAAACAAGCGCACAAAAACCAAACATTTGAAGGTCGTTTCGAAGCCCCTGATTGACTGTGTCTACCATGTTGCCTCAGTTCGTCTCGCCATTGGCCATGCTCGCTCCGGGAGATCTTTGTCGGCGGACTGTGCGTTGCGAGGACATGGCTTTCAAGAATCGCTACGTGACTTGTTCCGGACTCGATGATGCACATCACCCACTAGCTCCTCGGAACCGTGGACAGGCATTTTACGCATCGGCAGTGGACCCCGCTGTCAAGCTCGTCACACTCCACCCCCCTCCCCCTTCAACTGCCAAGGATTGCTCGGAACAGCGGATAGCTGTTTCGCGCGTAGTCACTCGAAAATGCGATACCAAGCGCAGTGCACGCGCATTTTTTTTCATTGTAGCTACACATTTCATGCATCGTTACCACACGCCGCCACCATGTGCATCACGCGCCTGCTGCACTGTCTATGCGGCCGCACACTCCACGGTCATGTGGAGTACTGTCAATAAGCTTTTGTGATACGATTTAGACGTGCTAGGAGCCGTGCTTGGTATCCCTATGAGTATCTATGTTTTGAGACAATGAAAGCCTCGTAGATTAGTGTTTCCGCGACTGGCCGTATGATGATGCGTTTCACGGCTAAAGTGGCAAAAGAGCATGTATAAAGCAGGGGCTGAATTTTCATATGCCATTCCGCGTCATTAAATAAACTGCTAAAAAATTCCTGTGCCACCAGTCTCATGCCCATACCTTTGTTATTTGCAAAGAAGGCATAGGCTGTCATGGCGTGAGCCATTTTTCTGATGAAATAAGCCTCTCTCTAGATAAAAAAATGTTCTGTGATTATTTGTAATCAAGTACTTAATTACACTTGTGACAGCTTGAACACAAGAAAGATGTGTAATCATTTCAGTATATGGTCTTATTCAATTGCAATCTTTTCTGTCATGCCTATCACACCACTTCCTTATACAAAAAACTTAGTTTGAAATCAATACTTGTTCTTTGTAAATCAAAAAAAAGGAGCTCATGAAAAAAAATTTTAAAAGACAGCAAAGGCACACCAGGCAGAGGCCACATGCCTGAGAAGTCAAATATCACAATACAGACCTGAGATCACAATTTTTAGGCATTTCAGAGACGTAAAGAGAAGTTGAAACTTTAAATGCTGTTTTCTCAATGTACTGTTTTTATGGCATTATGCTCAGCTCGTGGAGCAGATATCTTGGCAACCAATTCACAGATTTTGATTCCATGTGTTTCGTAATGCTCCTTGAACCGAGATTCAGGGAGCTTCAGCCCCCTTCAGCATACATTTGGCTGTGCCTATAGTAATTACCAATCATTTTTGTCATTTTATAAATCCTCCAGCCCCTCCACGAGATTTAATGAATAAATAACTTGTCTTTCATTAGGTATTTGTGGTATCGTATCAAAATTTTTATGGAAACACTGTGAGGCCATTCTTAGTGTATGTGCCAATTTTCATCAATATCCAACCAGAAACGAGAAAGTTCTTCGAAAAAGGCCTGTCAAGAACTTCGACAGGCTTTTTCTCACAAGTCTGTTTTGGACATTGTGCATTGCTCGTAGAAAGTGTAGCACTTTGATGCAGTTTTTTTTTTTTCTGAATCCCAAAACATTTCTTGAGGGTCTGACAATCTTTAAATTCCTGTTTATGGCCCAGTTTTTTTCTAGAAAATGACCTGTACATGACACTATTTTTGATAATGTGTGTAGGCAGCTATGATGATCTCTAAAAAAAATAGTGATAAAAAAATTCTGAAATTGTCATATCCAATAGACTTCTTTTGAGTAAAAGTCAACACCATTTGCAGCTTCCTGGCAAGTTTTGTTACAGTGCTAGGCTTTCCACGAGCAAACCATATAAATAGAACCGCGTAGCATGATGTAACTTAGGAACTACTCAAGGTATCATAATGAAACGTCGTATTTCCTTATTCAAGACACTTATAGTGTGCATGCCAAATTTCATTGCTCTATGTGACCAAACAAAAAAGTTTCTTTTTAACACCACCTTCCCCCAAGGGAAGGCAATAGCAAGCAAGCGAACGGGTCGCTCAAAAAACGGCCTTCTGTCATTATTATTTATATTCACAGGTTTTTGCACCACTGGAAGAAAGTGGCCCCCCGACATGATGCCGATGTGCTTTATTCAGCACACAATAAACTACACTACGTGCCATATGTCCTGTGTTTTAGAAGCACCTTTACACTAATGAGCGCGCAAAAAACACTCGATGCAGGACAAAATATGGCATGCAATTTGTGCGCTGTAAACATGGTACTGTGTACCACATTTCATTCACATGTGGGCAGCTTTATGTTGGGCCATTGGGCCGGTGCTTGAAATAAGGCTTCGGGGCACCACAGCTTACTAAAAGGGACAGCCTTCTCGCACCTTGCACGACATTACAGTGAATGCGGATGCGAACTTGGGCTTTCACACATCTGTCATTTTTAGAAACAAAGATAAAATAGTTTGTGAGATTACAGAAACCTTTCTAATCAAAAAGAAAGGTAAGGAGTGTGCCAGCTAACCTTCTCTCAATCTGCTTGATAGGAAATGTAATCTTTTGTAGAAACCTGGTATCATACCCGAGTGTCTTTGGTGGAGCGTTTTTTTCTGGCTTTTGCAACCCGTCTGCGAAAGTATGAGGTCATGTGCATCATCAAATGTGGTTTACCTTTTGAACTTTCTTTTTTTAATAAACTCAGTTTCAAGTTAGCTTTCGTGGTGTCCTTTCTTGATTTATTTGTCCCCATTTTTGGCACTGTGAATTTATTCTGCAATGTTATACAAACTCGCTCAAGCTTCAGAGTTCCTAACTGCTTTCACCAAAGTGATCATGTGCATTAAAATATTTCAATCAGAACTGATACAAAGGAACTCAAGGCAAAATACCACTATCTCCTTGTTTTGTTCTATTCCTTGCCACTAGTGCGCATAAATGTCAAAAGTAAGTCACCTCTTCAAACGAGGACACTGTGTTGCAAAGAGTTATAACATTAACACTTTCAATTTTCTTTTACATACTCAACAATCGCTCCCTTTCATGCACGGTATATTGTAATGCAATAGCGCTGAGCAAAATGCATGAACAAGTGACGGAAAAATAGGGCAGGTTAAGAGGTGCACAAACTTTCAACTGTTTATTTTCGCCAAAGCACGTGAGAGATTTACGCTAAAGATTTAAGATAACAGGAACTATGTCACAACGTGATGTTCATGAAATCATGTCATTTCAGGCAATCGTGTTTTGCATGGGTAGTCTAAGTAATCTAGCAATTGTCAATGAAGTTAAAGGCTGCCTCAGTTGGGACAATAGATTTTGAGCTCATGTGAATGTGTAATTTAAACACAAAAAAAATATGCCTGCATGATTTCTCAAGTACTGTTTAACCTGCAATCTATGTGTTTGATTAAAAATGGGTTCACGTCCACATTTTGCACAATGTGTAGCTAAGTACCCTGGCATTCCTCCATTTCCCTCAGCGCTACTACCGCGTTACAATGACGTGCCAACTAGCCCAAATTGAAAAGCAGGCTCCAACTTTTTTCACCCCCCCTCCCAAAACAAGCTTGCCAATTCATACAGTAGACCACAGCGACCACATTTACCGAACATCACGGCGCTGCACGCCACACAGACCCTCCATCTTGAAAAACAATCCCGTGCCCGTTTCCCTCCCCTGACCAATCCCCCCTCGTATGTGCAGTCAGATGAAAGCTTGGCCATGAGCAATGTTATGCGCCACTGAGCTCATCGATCGGTTCTTTGCCGTATGATACAGCCCCTTGGCCCGGTGGCGATGCATTTTTAGTCACTCAATCCACATTTTCATTTTTCTGTGCTGCCCTCTGCTGTTTTGTAGACTCCGGGAAAAGCGGTATTGCCCGAACGAAATCCTCCAAGATAAAGAGGTGTCTCGTTACTTTACTGTGAGGGAAAAAGTGCTCCTCACTCTGTGTTTGCTGTCGGCGCCGCTATGATACATGCTCATGAGGGTCAGCCCCACTTGGTCGTTGGTTGCGCGCCGATGACTTATCACGGACGTTGAGAGTTACGCAACCGAAGTGGCCGAAGTCACGGCAACGGGCTACTCCTTTGCAGAGAAAGATGGCGAGCGGCCGCACAAGAATTTGAAACTGGCTGAAATGGGTGTTCTGACGCCTGTAACGTTTTATTACAGCACGTATTTGCGAAATTCTTGCAGCAGCATGTTCACATAGCAAAAGCGTACGTATTCCTCTTCATTAAAATTTTTGAACCTCAGCGTTGTTTACTGGCTTTTTAAACCCCGTTATTCCCTAGAACAGTCACAAATGGGAATACTGCTACTTATATTTTCTTTGCAATGCTTGAAAAATGGCTGCAGAAAAATGTCTTGAACATATAAGTGCTTACATACTTACATATGGCTATGTATACCCAACCTGCTATGTAAAATATTGCATTATTTATAAAGTTACATTTTGTCAAGATAAACCACTTTATCTCTAATTTCCTGTTTTAGATAACTCCAGTCCTTTCTGAACCAACAAGTGTGCCATCCTTATCTAAATCAACATACAGCATCTGATCTCTTGCACATACTATGTTCACAGTGAATGTTTGGTAATATATGGGCTCGTTATAAGATATAAACTATACTTAAGAGACATGCTCGGTTGCACTAAAGCTTACCGAAAATTCCTGTTCACCATCTTGCTTGTAAGTCTCCTCATCACTTGAGCTGCTAGTATGGCTGCTAGGTGGACCACTGTTTCTCCTTACACCACTGGCAAAAGGGGAAACATTTTATCTCAATGAGTGCACCTCGAAAATTTTGGCTGAGAAGCTATAGAAATTAACCAACAAGGGTATACGGAACCCAACATATCCCTTTCAGTATTGTTACCCATGAAATGCTGCAAAGAAACGACTACCAACAAGTTTGCCTCTAACAAGTACAAATGAAGCCGTATAGTAACAGAAAAATAATAGTTATAAAAGTAGTGATACCACTTTTATGCTGCACTGGCACTAATGACTGCAATTACAAAGCAGCATAAACAGTGCTGAGTGCTTGATCGTTACTGAACACAATATTGATGAGACTAAAACATACTGACACACTAACACAGAGAGAGAGAGAGAGAGAGAGAGACATACACACAGGGTGCTTTTTTTTGGACAATATACATATTTCATAAAAACTACATGACAGTCACACTAGTCATTTTCGCACACATACTCTATGTAGAGGTGGCAATTCTTTACTGCAACTAAAATCACATTGTCCAGAGTATTAAACAAAATTTTAATTAGCTTGTTAATTATTAACTGAGGGCAGTTGCTAATATTAGTAATCATAAAAGGTGCATGTTTTTCTAAGCATTCATTATTCAATTTTGAGGGTGAAATCGAAACTGGTCGCACCCGACGCACAGAAAGCATAGTCTTTCTATTACATCAGACTGGAACAGACCTGTTTTCTAGCACTTGAAAGTATATGGCATGTGTCGAAGAATGGGAAAGCAAAATGGGTAAGTGCATAAAGTGCAGGTTGTTTGCATTTTATAAATTTGAAAGCATGCTGAAAACAATCATCAGGAAATACATAATTACAACAGAGCTTACCATTATACAATCAATTGGTTGGCCGTCAAAAGCACCATGAAAGTGTCTGAATTGAACGCCCAAATAAACACAGGGGCAATGAAATATGTTACAACTGAAGGCCATGGGTTACTTTTGAGCACCTGGACTTCTCTAGCATGCAGCCAAAGAGCAATAAGGAAGCATTTTCATATTGTGCTCTCAATTATGATGGTTATGACCGTATTGAGCTGTTACTTAATTCTGATTGGTATTACAAATGTCTGTCCTTTTATTCAAACCACTCGGCTACACCACAAGTTTTGAGACATCGGTGAGAAAAAGTTTCAAAACTTAAAAAAAGCATAAAACACACACACACACACATGCATGCATGCATGCATGCATGCATGCACACACACACACACATATAGAATGATTCGGTACAAGGCATCAACAAACCCGCAAGACTCTTTCCCCCCCCCCCCAAGAAATCACGATGACACGAATATATCACTAATGACTATGCCTGCTTTAAGAGGGCCATACATACATTGTTTTCTTGATAGGAAAAATACAGATACCACCTAAAATGTTCACACTCTCCTCCTCTTTCAAAGGCATGGCAAAAGAAATGAACATGGCGAAAGACCAGCCCTTTAGGATATGCGCTTCTCTAATTGGAGCAACCCCAGGTGCTCCTCAACCACTATAGAAACATTTTGGGGTAGCCCTATGCATGACGAGAACAGCACACGACAAACAGGAACCAATTGTTGGCTTAACAGTTATCGGCCAACTACACCTATTTTTTTTCTTTCCCTTCCAAATGTGGTCAAGAGTCGGGGCGACATTGCTGAAAAACCCGGTTCTACAGCCCTTTTAAAATGCTAAGGCCTTCAGTAGGAGGGTCCCCTCCTGAATCTGGGCCAATAAATAAATTTTTATTGCAGTGTTCAAGACAATGCCTCATTTGTGGCATCACTTATTATCAATACAAAACTGACTAATCGGCCCATTAGTTATCACTGATAAATAAATATTATATAAAAAACACAGGCCAGTGAGCCCAAGAACACACACACACAAAGCAAATATCCCCATTAAAATATTAAAAAACAAACTAAGTGAATCGGCCTACAACAAATGTTAGGCACCACAGCATTGATGTAACATGTTAGCTAGACACAGGAATGATAATTGTTGCGGTTTAAAGAGCCAAAACCACCATACGATTATGAGAGACGCTGTAATGAAAGACTCTGAAAGTTTCGACCACCTATGATTACCTAACGTGAACCTAAATCTACACTGGCCTCAAGCATTTTGCCTGCATTGAAAATGCAGTGACTGCGGCCGGGATTCGAACCCACGACCTGCGGGTCAGCAGTCGAGCACCATAACCACTAGACCATAGCAGCGGGTGCTAGGCACAGGAAGCTCACAATAAGAAACACTAGTGATTCACTGCTTACGCTAAGTCATACTAATGGTCCATATCTGCATGCCACTTAACTTCTAAAACAGAAAGGCAGCACTACAATCTTCCTGTGAGAGAGGGAAGTGGGAACGAGGGTGACATTCTCCATTGTCATCTGGTATGAAGGAAGGCATTTCATTACTGAGCACCCCTAGCAGAGGGGCAGGAGGAAACTTTTAAATGGTCTGCCACATGCCTTAATTATCTTTACTGCTGTACCCGCATACTGAAGTGCAAAATCCATCTTTCAGAGCACCTTAATCTTTCCAAAGAAACCTCTAAACGTAAAGTTAGGGCCAGGAAATTCATAAAACCGCGCTTCAGATTTCTGCACTGCATTCTACCAATTTGCATCCTCTGATGGCCTTCAATAAATGACCACAAAACCATGTGTAAGTTGGAAAGGGGAGATATGACGGCATAAACACTGCTACATGAATACAAAAATTATCATCACAAAGCAGAATAAGTAGTGCCCTGCAAACAAATTAGGTATTTAGGAGCAGAAAGACACCCAAAGAAGAATGTGCCATACAACTACTTGAAGCTCTTGCACTGGCACTACCCTAGCGACTGTGACCTGTTCTAGTGAGCATGCTGCAACGAAATATGGTTGCTTTCATGCCTACGCTACTGCTTCTGTATCTTGAAGCCACCTATTGGAGCATCGACCCAAATTGTGCTCATTATTGTGAGCCACTTCTTTCAAGTATGTTTGAAATGTACAGAGGTAATATAAAGGAATGGTACTGGGTAATGACATCCAAGTGCCTGTAAGTTGCATATATTAATGTGAATGTGACATTCCTCTCACCAGCCAATAATGCTGCAGAAATTATGGCAGCCATGCATGTACTGTGCCCACATCTCATGTTGGAAATAGCTTTCAGGTCCCGAAAACAAGTAAAGTATGCCTTCTACACCTATAAAAAGACAAGTAATGTGTGAAGCACTGTTGCCAACTGTACGGTAATGGGATTTTTCGGCCTGCTTAGGGTAGTAGGGCAGCAATGCGATTTTCTTAAGAAACATAGGGTGATTTCCAGTTTGCTCGTCGTTGATCAGGTAAAAATGTAGATAATCCGCATGACATTTCTAAAAGTTATTGTCTTAACAAGATCTCAAAATCTTTAATGAATATTATTGGAACTGTCTTTATTCCCTTGTCACCAACATAGGGCAGAGACAAAAGATATGTCATGCTACCCTGTGCTCCCTTTGTTTTTTGTTTGCACGTGCATTTTTATTTCTCCATCGCTTCCCATTATTTCGTTGCGTGGAGGGGCATTATATTTTCCGATGACAGTTGGTTCCAGTTATTGAGACAAAAACCTTAGATGCCCCATCAAACACGAAAAGTAACCATCGGGGTGTCAAAATCATCACGATACAGCAATACCACCTCATGATGTCATCGTGGCGTCACATCGCAATGTGGTACTAAATGATGACATCACATGAAATGCTCATTTGCTCATACCTGAGTAGAGCCCGGAGGCACGTGAGGTGCAGAAAGCCTGCACTGTCTCCAATTACCAAGGCTAAGCAAAACCACACTAAGTGCAGAATTCTTTCAAACGCAGGTCCATCAATACAATAAATTGAAAAGAACAAGAAGGCTTTCTCTTCCCAGTCATCTTAGGCAAATGCATAAGGGACCATGTGAGCTTTTACGACACTATACAGACTAATCGATTAAAAAAATGTCCCTTTAATAATGAGGCGGCGACTTATGCTTAAGCAAGCTCAATGTTTTGTCTACATTATAATTACACAACGGCCTAATCTTGTCCAGCTGAATTAAGCTTCTTGTCATATAAACTTTATAAATGCACAGCCCAAATTTGTGCACCTAACCTAATCACAGACTAACTTTACTTTACCTGCTCTTTTTTTTTTTTCATTTCTGCCTACTTCTCCACTTCCAATCCTCCAGAAGTGATATACTTTATTGCCAACCTGTTCACGTTTCATATGTTGGCCCTAAAACCCTCAGCTTCCTGTCAGCTAGTGCCCTAGCACACACGTGGCACCTACACAGAGCTGCTTTTTTTTCCTTCACTGCTATCCAATATATTGTTATGCAGATGTTGGTGCAGTGTTGGTGAAGACTCCCGGGTCACATAGCAGAGCCATCACGTACTGCACTGGTGCCTGAGCGGCCAATACACTGTCGTTCGCCATAGCAGCGGAATTGATCCAGCTCAGACTTCTGTAGAGACGCACCCAGCACTTCCACCAAAATTATACGCGTAGAGTTGCAGTTGAAGTTGCAGACGCCCTGAGGCAAGTGCGACACAATCGGTTCTGAGCCCGAGACACTTCAACCTATTCTATGGCTGGAAGAGTCATCTAGTCGACACTGGCAATGACACATACGTAACAATATAGTTTTCTGCCTCTAGAACATGTCGCTTAAAGATCTTTGCTACCGTTTCGCTTACACTGTCAGCTGTATACTCACTGATAACACTCCTAGTTCCCTTTCTAGGTACGAGGTAATGCTGTTCCAATACAAATGAGGAAACTATTTTTCATGTTTGTTATACTCTCTTCGAAATCAATTTTGAGCTACTGAATTCAGCACCACCACATGATGGTGCGTTGCTGTGTGAAGTATAGTCTGAACTTGAATATTGGACCATTTCACTATATTTGGTCATAGCATAAATTGTAGGATAATAAAAAAAAGTGTAGGGTAAAGCAGGGAAATTTTGACC